AACTCGGGTGATAATGGTGCCGGATGTTCCGGGCAAACAACAGCTGGGCAAACAAGTCACGTTCTGTCTGTCTTGCAATAAAATTGTCTTGGTCATCTCAAATGTGTACTTCCCTCCCCCCCCCGCCCCCAGTGCTTAACTAGTTGGAAAACATTAAATGGTTGCCACTTCCCTAAGCACAGGGAGAGGGATTTTCAGTGGGGCTTCCCACTTACTCTGTGGCATCTTTGAATGAAACAGGCTTGATTCATCTCACAGTGAATGTGCTGTTAAATTTTTTCCCAGGTTAGGTGTCACCCAATGTTGGCTCCCAAATATCATTCCAAGTTTGTGCAATGTCTCTAAAGTACAGCATTTCAGTTGCCTTTTTACTGGTCTCTGTTTTACGCCAGAAAATCTCCTTATCTCTGGGTGGTTTCCTAATGGATAAGAAAATAGCTTGGGAGTTCATTTACTGTATCTTGCATTTAGGTGTAGCACCGAGCAGAATCAAGATGACTCGGTTGGTAGTGAGCCTTTTGCTGATGTCCTTTCAAATCCCTGTTGATAGTGACCAAAAACCATGGCACTCAGAAGATGCAGTTGCTAGGGGATGCTTTTCTTTCTCTTCCTTCAGTGAGTGGGAAGATTTCCTATTTGTATTTTGGTGCATACCAAAAATCGGCATTTGATTGCCGATGCTGTGCGATCAGCTGCTGGGGGCCACGATTGGCATCTGGGTCTAGTTGTCCCAAGCAGCCACGTCCAGGCTTGCAGGCTCTTCGAGCAGCGCAGATAGGTGGCACATAACATGGCTGCTGGTAATCACGGGCCCAGATATCTGAAGCACATCTGTGGTTTCGGGGGCTCTTGGCGTCTCTACCTGCTGATCCCATGAAGGAGCACGCCGTTGCCTGGATGCACAAACACGACATGGTTTACCGCAGCCCCCGGCAATTGTTCACTTGGAGAAGTGCAAGCACGTGGTGGAGATTTAGGATGTAACTATGGCAGTGGGGAGGAATGTGTGAAAAGAGCTTGGAGATGTCAGAGCACCCGCTCGTGAGGAGAGGGCCACGTTAGCAGAGCTGTTGGCTAGCAGTAAACAGTCCTGGCACCCTTGTTTCAGGACTTGGCAGCAGCAGGAGTTGAACCGAGTCCAGCTTTACTCTCTACTGCCTGTTCAGTAAGTTGAGGACAAGGCAGATGATTAAGGAAATGTGGGGAAACTGCTACAGAAGCTTTTGGAAAGATAAGAGACTTTTGTCTCCATGTCTGACAGTCTGGCACTTCTCACTAGCATTGAATTCACATGCAAATCAAAGGCAACATCTACTCCCACAGGAAGCTTTATTAATGTACAGGCCTGCTTGCGAATCTCCGTGCTGATGAAGGTTGTGGGACTGACTTCACTCTCAGATTAACTTCCCTGTCTATCCTCGCTTGAGCGCTGCGCAGCATCGGCAGCCTCAGTAGGGCTCCCACGCCGGCATCCAGCGATGGGCTCCACGCAGGAGCGGTTGCTGCGTGGAACCAGAGAAGGGGGTAGAGGTGCGGCGCTTGTCGGCTTGGATTAAATGGGATGTGCTCGCCTAATGAGGGCAGGTGTCCACTGGGCTTCAACCCACATCGGCAAATTAATTTCATGAAGGCACTCCAAATGGGCTCGAAATGCTTTGCATGTAAGAGGAAAGAGGGCTGATGCTTCCCAGACTGAGCTAGCCATCTTTTTTCTACACATCCCGTCGTGTGTAAGGAGCGCGGATGAGACTGAAATGGCAGGGGTAGTGCTTGGTCCAGGGTGGGAGGGAGGAAGGACCGAGCGGGGAAACGCAGAAAGGCAAGGGACTTGGGATCCCTGGGTTCACCGTACCACCAAGGACACAGTAGCTACTTGATGCAGATGTTCAGTAAGAACCAGATCTGAGCTATAAACAACCTTCCACATCTTAAACCCAAGCTCATCTGATGCTTAGCTTTTATTGCTGTCAGTTATTTATAAGCGGAAGACCGAAATCTTGAGAGAAGAGAGCGGGGAAATTAAGCCGCAATCCCCTGAGCTGTCAGCTTGCCACCATCCCCCCCGCGCCTGCCCCTCCGTGTTTTTCCCTTTGCTGTTCCCGTCCATCCCGGCTCCTTGTATCCGTGATGCTCCCTCCAGCCAACTCATTCGTTAACTCTCATTCTTTTTAATCCTTTCCTTCCCCCGCTGCTCCACCCTCCGTGCTGGTCCCTCCCTCTCGCCGTTGCTGGTCCCACCAGGTCTCAGCGCCAGGACAAGTGCCAGCCGGACATGGAGCAGGGTGGTGTAGCTGTCACCTCGAGTGGAGAGCCCGCACAAGGGTGGGTGTGCGGGGATGTGGGTGCCGTGCAGGTGGGACTGGAGCAGGGACAGAGCTCTGGCTTTGCTCTATCAGAGCCTTGCCATTGCGAGCCTGGCCCCGAGGGCAGAGATCTTCATCAGCGTGGGGTCAACCGTGGTAAGGGCTCGTGGTGGCAGCGGCCACCCTGCCAAGCTGCACAGAGCTTCATGGCCAGCTCGAGTAGAAAGCAGGCATTTCTTGCACGGCTACTTGTTCTGGGAATCTTCAAAAATTTCTGGCAGCCAATTTTAGTTGTGCAACCTCTCAGCTGCCAGAACGGATAGAATATGATCATATCACATGAAATGCATGCAGGGTCTGCTATAGCAACTGTATTTCAAAGAGACAACACATATGGTGACTGGTTCTTTTTGGAATAATATCTATAAGTTGATGATGTTTTATTCAAAAAGGCTGTAGCTTGAAAGGTTAGGGATGTTCTGATTGTTTAGTGTATGATTAAAGAAAGGCTTCTGTGTTTTTTTTGGCCTATTGAATCTAATTGCTGGGAACTAAAATGATCATTTGATTGCACATTTACCTGGAATTATTCTTCTGCAGAGCCAGTCTTAATAATATATAATAATATGTTGCGCTTGTACTGTATAGCGCTTCTTGTCTGAGCAACTCAGAGTGCTTTACAAGTATTCATTAATTAAATAAGCCATACAACACCCCTGTTAAGTAGGTGAGTTATTTGTTGCCCATCCCCTTAAGTCTTGTAGGTTTTATTTCTGCTGCCTCTGCCCACCCTTGAAGATGCTTTAACAGCTAAATAAGCTAATTCAATAAAAATAACTTTTTTTTAACCATACTTGGCACTTCTGCATAAAGGTTTCCTTTGTTGCATTGTATTACTTGGTAGGCTGTAGGGTCTTCTGGTTCTTGACGCTGAACTGACGGTGGGGATGGTTGTGTGTGTGGGAGCACAGATGCATGCCCGCTCTGGGGTGTGCCTGTGCCCGGCAGCTCCTCGCACCCCTCGTGGGGACATGGACCATTTTAGAGATGCTGCGGGTGCGCTGAGCTCCGACCAGCTTGAAATGCAAAATCTGATTTTGCCTTCGTTGCGCCAAGCTCTATTGGAAATCGCATCCACCCTTAAAGAGTTTTTCTGATCCAGTGGAGACTTGTTATTAAATTTGAAAGGAGGGCTCATTGCCAGAGTGCGGTAAGGTCTCTCCTCCCCGCTTGTCCTGGCCTGCTGGCTGGCAGGGGTGGTTCTTCAGCCCCCTGGGCTGCTGAATGTCCCTTCGAAAGTGAAAAGATGGGTCTAGGCCATAAAATAACAAGGTTTTACTGGGGGGGGGCGGATCCAAGTTTGCAGTCCTTGGTGTCAAACCTTTCCCAGCGGTTCTGCGCTGAGGTGAAACACTTTGCAACTTGGAGGAGCAAGTGAAACCCGAAGCGTATCTGACTCCTTAATTAAATAGGTATTAATTAAATCACTCAGAGAGCACACACAGTAGGAGTGGGGAAGGCTTTTTCCCTCCTTCCGTGTAGGCATCTTGCAAAGGGACTATTTTTCTTGTTTTACATTAATGAAGTCTTCAGCCTTCCCACTTTTCCACCTACACATGTACTGAACGTCTCCAAGGAGACCAAGAAAGCCCGAGTCCGGTGCTGGTGAATCCCCCGGGAGCAGCGGGCTTGGGTCTCACCAGCGGAGCCTCAGCTGTGCCACAGCCCATCTTGCAGGGATTATCCTTGCGGCCCCCTGGCTGGGGGGCCGGGAGGGAGCCGGGGCAGGGACATGCTCCTTGTCCTGCTTTCCCCCATGTTTCATCTCCTCTTGCTTTCTTTTCCCCACCTGATGGAGAAATCGTGCCTCGCAGAGGGGCCGGCTCCAGTGTCCAGGGATGCTTTTCCGTTACTTTCCACAAAATTTTGCAATAATCCCCCACCATGTGATTCTCTGCTCATGCTTTTGGGATCATGTCCCTCGCCCCGCCGTCCCGTGAAGCCGCACTGTCCTTTTGCTGCTCTGCCCCTCCCGTCCGAGTCCCCACCACTGGTCCGTCACAAGCGCTTAGTGATTTTGGGGGTGTGAGATGCAGTCCCTGCTTTTCATTGCATTCACTCCAGCTCCTCGCAGCTTCCTCAGCCTTTAGCATGGTACCTCGGGGGACTAGGCACAGCTCCGCCTGCCACTGGCTTTCCTCTTTCTCCCACCATAGCCTTCCAGAACCTTCCCTGACTTTCTCTGGTGCTCAGGAGAGCAGACAGTGATATATGACTGCCCTCTTCTGTACACCAGACCTGACCTGCTGGAGGAGAGGAGCATGAAAGCCATTAGCACGTGAGCCTGCCCGGTAGCAAAGAAGGGTATGAGCCGCTCCAGGCGGGGGATAAAAACAACCGTATGGTGCTTACCACCGGGATTCCTGCAGTTACTCGAGGTCCCCCACAGGAGCTGAACATCAGCTGCTGCTGTTTTTCTCCATAGTCAAAATGGGAAATCCAGTGGTGGGATATCGCCCCATTGCGTGCAAATGCTGAGTTTTTTTTTTGTGGAAGCCACCGCTTTCCTCGGTGGGGGTGCTTCGGGAGTGGAGCGGACCCCTCCGTGACCAAGGGGTGCCTTGACCCTATGCCGTGCGTGTAGCTCCCCACACCCTGTCTGCTGTAAACTCAGTTTTCAAACCTCTTTCCTCACAGGCTCTCCAGGTGGCACGGCAGCTTCTACTGCAACAACAGCAGCAGCAGCAACAGCAGCAGCAGCAGCAGCAACAAGTTAGTGGATTAAAGTCTCCGAAGAGGAATGACAAACAGCCGGCCCTTCAGGTAAGGGGAGCCTGTGTGTCTCCGTGAGGGGCTGGGGCTTGTAAAAGCTGAATAAATGCGTCTTACTTGTGAACGTTGGGATGGGACCTTCAGGAGCTTCCTCCCAGTGAAGTCCACAGAGCGGCTGCGGCATGAGGACCGGTGCTAGGTGCTCCTGAAAATCACACCCACAGCGTGTTTACAGATCGTGAGCGTGTACTTCTATTAGCATCTGGTAGGGTTGGATCATGACAAAATGGAATAGCTTTTGTTACCGTGTCAGCGTGCATAGGAGACTTGCATTAACATTTCTGTTTGATGGCTGTTCCGTTTGTAGGCTGTGTTCACTCAAACCGTTGATTTGCTGTGTCAAGGATATTGGGAAATACTAGGATATCATATCATCGGTGTGTTTTTTCCCCTTTTATTGTCTGCTGATTTATGGACATCTTCAGAAATAAAATCTAAATATTATTGGGCTTTGTGCTGTTACGAATTCAGAAAGCTAAAACCGATACAGCATTCCCAAACCGAAGATGTATGCACACATGTGCGGCTTTGGAGTACATTCTGCTAGTCTTGCGGGATAAATCACGGGAGTTAAAGACAAGAAAGACCTATTAGGTCATGTATCACTTTTTTTTTTTTTTTTTTGCTATTCTAGTGTTAGAAATTCCAAGTGGTGGTGGGACTGCTATTATTTTCCTTCAGACGGTTTTCCATAACAAAGCACACACTCAGGAACTTTCCACTTTAATTCCATCCTCTTGCTCCAAGTAATACTGCTTGTATAAATACTGAGTCAGTCCCTTGCCTTGCCTCGTGTTCACACTCCTCAAACATCTGAGATACCAACATGTACTTGCCAGTTTTGGCAAATTATATGTATCTAGTTCTTTATGTATTTCGTAAACCGGCACTTCCAGACCCTTGACCACTTTGCTGGTTTGCAGCTGGTTATTGCTTTTATTATTGCTCTCTTTGCAATTGCAGCATGTCACTGTATTTTTGATAATAAGGTACTGAATACAGCAGTTCAGCTGCAGTCGCACAAAGCCCTGTAGCTGGGACATTTATCTTATCTCGCTCTTCTATATCTGATGCTTCAGCCTCTGTAGCCCCAAATTCTTTCCTTTTTTTTTTTTCCCGCTTGTTGTCATAGCACGTTGTCAAACTCATGTCTGTTTTGCTCTTTCTAATTTTTTTTTAGTTTGATATACTATCACCGTGAGTTCCCTGACAGCATTGCTGCTTCTCTTGCCTTTTATATGTGCTTCAGATTATTTTCCTCCAAAAATACGGATCCTAGACTCTTTAAATATGTAGTAGAATATGGAAGGTAAAGCCAACATCACTAAAGGCCTTGACAGTAAAGTGAGAGGACCCGATCCTGCAGTTCTTACCCAAATAAAGCTGACGGGGATTTCAAGGGGAGTTTTGCCTGAGCGAGGAATAGCTATTAGCTGCAGCCCTTGGCCCAGCGTGGACAACTTCTAGCTTTCGTGCAGTGATTTCATCTTCAAAGCATTTTACAAATACTAATCTCCAAAACATCCCCAGAAGGAAAGTCTGATAAGTAAGTAGCATTATCCCAGTTCTGGACTGGGAAACTGAGGGAAGCAGGTTAAGTGACTTGCTTAGGATCACAGAGGGAATTGGGTTTAGAGGTAGGATTAAGATTCATGAGTTCCTGGCTCCCACCACCGTGCTCAGGCTGCTGGACAACACCTTGCACTTTATAGCCGAGCTATTATTCTTTTGGAAAATATGAAGCATTTTGTCATTGGGCAAATATACATTTTATTGGCAGTGTAGAGCGCCATAATCCAAAGCGTTACATTAACGCTTTCAAAAATATTTTATTTGGTAAATCTATAGCTGATCCATATGCCTTTTAATAGACTCTTCCACTGGGGACATTTTTAATGAGAGATTGTGCTGGCTAGGTCCAGTGTCAGGTACTAAAAGAAGTGCTTTGTTGTGCAGATGTCTTAAGAATAGCTCCAGAGGATGAAATATGACTGTGTTGACCTTTCAGCTGTGAGCTTATTTGTCAGGATTCAAATAAGTTGAAAGGATCAAACCAAACAGTTTCCGTAGTCAGACTGGGAATTGTGTTGCAGAGGTCAACAGTGAAGGCCACATCGCGGATTCCATAACATAGCCAATTGTTGGTATGTATTAAAGTACTGGAGCAGCTCCTGCAGGCAGAGACACAATTAAAATTCTAATTTATTAATGTATACAGAGAGCTGGCCCAGCCTGTCACTCACTGATTCAAATGACTGCCCAGTCTTTTTTTTTTTTTGCCCCTCCTCACTCCTCCTGCTGTTGCGGTCTTAAACATACTGGAAGTCCTCCTGAAAGTAACAGACCCCGAGTGCATCCCTGCAATGAAAATCTGTTGAGTGCATCCCTGCAATGAAAATCTGTTGCTGAAAGGAAATGGTGGCGCTGGGGGTAGAGTTTTTGAGTAAAACTGCACCCACGCAAGCACCCACACCCCCTGAAGTGGATGGCGCCGCACTGACGAGGCAATACCCGTCGCTGGCAGTACATAGAATAAATGTCGAGGGTGGTGCAAATGCGCCCATTTTTGAAAAGTTTGCTTAAATAACGAACCGAGTCTTCTTTGCACTTAGTTTATAAATATAGATGTCTCATTGGATAGCCACAGTGGTTAGCAGTTACCTATTTTTTTCCTGACAAACAGACTTTGTGCGTAACAAGAATACCATAGGCATTGCTTACCTCTGCTGTGCGCGGCGAGGGCACTGGCGAAAAGCTCCCTTAGCACGAGTGCTGGGGAGCTGTGTTTGCATGAAACAGCGGGAGGGGGTTCGCCCGGGGTGCTGGTTCTCCTAATAAGATGCTCCATGGCCCTGCCTGTCCCGGGAGCGGGGGCTGGCGTGGTCCCACGCGGGGCTGGAAGAGCTCCCTCCGTCTGGGGCTCAGCACTTTAATGCTGGCTGGCAGGCTTTGTCGTGTAAACCCCACTGCCACAAACAGATGCGGAAAATTAATCTACTATATGCTGTGTAGCTAATCTGTTATCGCCTCGTGTATAGTTTCCTATATTCCTTCTTTATTCACTGATCAAATAGCCACGGTACTTAAATATATCCCGGCATCCCGTGGCCACGCTGGGGCATGGTGCCTTCAATAGCGTTTACATGACAATGGGCTCCAGCGATGTCTTTGGGGTCTTTTGACCTTGATAACTCTACCTGGAGACCTGCTTTTCGCAAATTTTGAGATAGTTAGTGTATAAGAACTTGGACACAGGAGTGGAGATGTGCTCGGCTGATAGTTGAAAAAAAATAAATCTCCGAATACACGATGACTCACATTTTGAGCCTATCTCACACTGCCGTGCTTTATATTTGGCAGTGACCTCCGGTTTCACAGCCTGATGACACAAAAAAAAAAAGAAAATTGCAAGTTAAGGAATGAATTTAGTAACCAGCAGTTGGGAAAAGAATATAAAAAATATCAGCCCCACAAAAATTACTGGAAGTGAAAAAGACCTAAAGCATGTTTGATAATATATTTGCCATAGACATTGGATTTCCTTGAGTCTGTGAAACAAATAATTTAACAGGTCAGGTATGCTTGGGATTTTCAAAATGTGCACGTTTTTCCTGGCCAAGATAAACATATCTTTGTATTATTGATTAAAATTTGCAGCTTTAATTGCTGATGCTCTTAACGATTATTCATTTTGGTTCTTCAAGCATTTTAGTTGCTGGCAAGAGCACACAGATTGGAAACAAATCAAGAGACACATTTTCTCCCAAGAAAGTAAAAGTGCATGTGTGTTTTGGCAATACTAAAAATACAATTTTTTTTAAAGACGTAAATGTTGTGTGTTGCATTGAGCTGAAAGTTGGATACTGGACTGAAAACAGATCTAGGACGTCCAAGTCAGTATCTTGCAATCGAAACCCATCACTTGACTTTTTTATGTGATTAAATGAGATTTGTTATATGATAGTTAACCTGCGTGTGTTTGGAGAGAAGAAATAACGAAATTACTAAGATGGAAACTTTTGTTTTTGGTTGACAAAACAGAAAATCAATCTTCCCTTTAAGTCACGGCCAAGAAAAGAATTTGGGTTTGGTTTAGATTTTCGGGGTGAGACTGGGGGAGGCTGAGAGGACAGAGCTGTCCTCGCCTTTGCATACCGCTGCTTTTTAAAGCAGCTTTTGGCAGGGCTTTTGTAGAATTTAATTTGCATGCTATATTATCTTAATATTTCTTTCCAGTATCTTGAGAAATAGAAGAGGGCAAGAGGAAAAAATCACTGTAGCTTGATGTTGGGGGCAATTATTATTGTTTTCTATGAAATTAGAAATCATTAGCTCGACAACATAATAAACGCTGAAAGGTGAAGGGGAAGGGTATTCTCTGTTTCGCTTGGAGCACACAAGTACCAGGTTACGTAGCCTCAGGTTTTACACGCAGTGTGCCTTTTTTACACAGCGGTAAATTTAACAACTGGTAGAGAAATTATGTCTCGGCAGATAATTTGGGAAGGGAAATAAATTTGCAAGTGTATTTATTCTATTTGTATGAGTATCTCTCTGTTCCACTCCTACACATGGGAGCTGATCTGAATTTGGCCTCAGTCAAGCCAATGGGAATTTTGCCACCAGCTCACTTCTGCAGAGTTTAAATAGTTTACTTATGAAAATTTCACTTGAATCCTTCATTTTTTTATTTTGGACTTTGGAAATAAAGGAAAGTTGAGTTTTGCTGGTTTCTACCAAAAGACCCGTAGCTCTTTTATTTTTCATCCCTAAGCCCAATTATAGGTGTTAGTCAGTTCTTGGAATGTGCCTGTGAACTGCAAATATCATCCACCCCACAAACAGAACAAAATCTGAGTCAGGTCCTCAAAGTTACACGATCAGCTTGAAAATTCTGATACTCAGGGGTTTTTTTCAGTGAAACCTGTGGGCCTTTTTTTGCTGCCCTTTTATATTTTTTTTAAAACCTTTAGTATTCAGTTTTTCCGGCT